GATGTGCATGGTGTGACCACACCCAAACAAGAATACGGAACGGGGCTAGGTAGCCAGTAGTTATGCATGTATTTAAATTTTACTATATATAGTTAGTACATTTAGGAAAATTTTAACTTTTAAATAAATAAATAAAAATCAGTTTGGAATTCAAAGCGAAGAGACAGCGTTCCTGATTGAACCGAACGCATTCGTTTGACGCGGCAGCAACAGTAAACGCACTCAAACGTTCGCCATGCTGTCAGCAGCTAAGATATCATGTCACATACGTTTGTGGTGCTTCCAGACGTACTACAGCGTTCTTGATTGAAACAGACGCCCTCGTTTGACGCGGCAGCAACAGTAAACGCACTCAAACGTTCGCCATGTCGATTAGCCTTGGGAAGGCAATAATGACTTTGAGCCATTATCATTAATCATCAATGATGATTGATGATATACTTCTATATGCGGTTTTTGTGTACATTCGGTCATAATCTCATGGTAGACTTATAAGCCGTCAATAGTATGTACAAGATTGTAGCCAGTTATACTGCTATTCGAATTTTTACTCAGACTTTACTTTAATGGCAGGCCCATTACTTTTGTAGGAATGTAGATACTTATAGGCCAAAAATTACGAAATGCTTATTTGCTATATTAAGCTTGACTCTGGTGACTCTAGTAGCGATTATGTTATCCATATATAAACATAGCAGGAGAACAAGCCTAGTTAGGTTCCACTGACTCAGTCAGACTTTATCATCCAGGTTTTGAAAGATTGCAAAGAAGAATCAATCATTTTTATTTTTCTTGCGAATTTTTGCTGATATTCTGTTTGTCCCGAAGAAATGATATATATATATCTTTTATACTATATTCCACATTGGGATTGTGCGATGATAAATAAGAATTCTTCCAAGTATGGCGTTTCATTGTGAGGGAAGGCTTGTAACGAATGTAAAGTATTTCTTTCTATCCTAAAAAGTGTGTCGCAAACGTTTAGATAATCGATGTAGCATTTTTTACTCTGATATATTCTGAGTAACCCCCCTTAGTTTATGCAAGCTAAGAATTGCTCAGATTTATTAATTTGGAACACGACTGAGGTTTACTAGTGCGTTTCTCTTCAAATTATCAATCAACTTAGTCATGGATCATTCTGCTCCTTGAACATTTTCCAAAACCAGAAATCTGAGCACCGCCAGATCAAAATCTTGCTACTGTAAAATGCATGAAAACTAGTCAGTGGGAGCCTTAGCGCTCACTTTCTGATAAAACTGGGGTTATAGCTCCTGTATCCGAGAAGCGTCAACTGCACAAATCATGACAAATCACCTTCTTCCAGATAAAAAACATTGAGCTCATTGCAGGTCCGTCATTCTTTCATAGCTGGGGCTGGATCGAACTGGCTGATGCAAACAACCGCCATGAATTGCGGTTTAAAGGCCACAAGGCTGAGCAAAATGAGTGATTGAAACTGCTACAAAAAAGTGGGCGAGCTTGTTTTGTAAGCACAAAGTGGCAATGACTTCTATATGATGTGCTAGGGAGGTCTCTTACATTAAATTAACCTAGACAACAAACAGGCGACAATATGGTATTGATAAATGCCTACAAACAGCCGTTTAGTTGCGTTTAGACTGCTTTAATTTGAGCTTCAACGGGTTATATATCATCGAGTCAGAAATATAACAAAGTTGAGTCGATGAATTATGGAGACACTGGGATTCATCTTTCCAGCTACAATGTACCTTTTTCTCAATCGCGCACTAACGAATTTTGTGCATTGTACAAACAATCTGCATCTTAATCTAAAAATGTGATAATGGCCTATTGTATGTTCATGTAGTAATCAATAGCATAAAATTCAGTCCATCTTCATGCTTTTATAGCTAACCAGGGGCTGGCAAGATAAAAGCTTGAATGACATCGTGAGGCAGCACTTTATGAAGGAATGTAGGCCAAATTTTGTGTGATACAAGCAAATAATTGTGTTGCGGTGTCAAATAGATAATGACTAATCATTCGTTATGGCAACTCTCGATCAATTTGGTATGGAGAATTGAATAAGTACTTATTTCTGATTTCTCAAAATAGATATGAGTATCTTAAGACAGATAGGATAAATAGTTGTATTTCTGCGCAGATAACTCTTGTCAGTACATTTATATTTCATCGTGTGAGTTTGAAAATACGAAAAATTGGTAGAAAAATATTTGGTGGAATTCAACTGGACTGCTTTACTCATCCGGCAGAGGAAATTAGCTTGACCTCCACACACACTAGTTAACGATATACTACACTTTTCTGATTATTAGGTACTCTGTCGGTTTTTTTGCACCGTGTACCTTCAATATGGAGATGAATGGGGCATCCCTATAATGTCGTTTGGTCCTAGGATGATTAATATCCGACTAACTAACTTCATGTTACGCTAATCAAGTTCATCACTATTTTTCACTCGCTACTCTCTCCCATCTAACTGATCACATCCGTCGTTGCCGTCCGTTTCCAAGTTACTTGCTTCTGGTCAGACCTTCTAGTCAACGGGTCCACGAGAAAAGACCAGATGGTCTGCGATACGTTAGCTAGAGAAAGCGGCGTCTCTCCCGCTTTCAGAAAACTTTGAGAGACCTGACAACATCAGACGGAAATCCATTGCCTCTGCTACATATATAACTGCCATTATGTAGTTAACGAGCACCTGTTCATCTCGTTTTTTGGTGCGTACTCCACAAGCTTCATTACCTCAAAATGAATGGCTTTCCACCTCCTTCCTCTGGGTACCAGCCTCGCAGTACCGGGCTCCCTCCTCTTTCACACGGTCCACGATCGTCCATGATGTCTATTGAGTACGACGGCATTCCATTACCCCCTCCTAGCATCCGTTCGTGTGGGTCTCAGCAATATGTCACGAGTTATATTCCAACCCAAGCTGCCTTTCCACCTAATAGTGTGCACGACTTGATCTCAAGCATGAAATCGTACGCAAGCGCAACTGATTTAGTGCGTACATATAGTGGTATTCCATCCGTAGAGGAAGCACTTGTGACACTTGATCGTGCGGCACTTGCATTGAATGCAAAGCGGTACCGAGACGCGTTAAAACTTTATCTTGAAGGTGGATATGCCATGGCCAATGTAGCAGAACGTCAAGCGAATCCTAAAATCTGCAATTTACTCACAAGTAAAGGATTTGAAACTCTCAATTGGTGTGCTCGTCTTTGTGATTGGATTGAAGGTCGAGTGAAGGAGAAGCATCCACGTCCAGGAGTGCATAAAGTTGGTATCCCAGTGAACAATTGGAATGAAGATTGGGATGGACCCGATTTGGACGAAGAAGAAGCTCGTCGAATGTGGTACACTCCTGTATATTGTCCTCGTCCCATTGATTTTTCAAACTTGGGATATCGTTTACGGTGTGTCGAGACTGGTCGCCGTCCACGACTGATGATATGCATTACGATGTACAACGAAGGACCACAGCAATTGCAAGCAACGCTTAAGAAACTCATTAACAACTTGACGTATCTGACAGAAGAGTCGAAAAGCCCGGAAAAGATGCTAACCCGATCGTTTGTAGGTAGTGAAGTGTGGCAAAATGTATTGATTTGTATTGTGGCAGACGGACGGGAACAAGTTAATGACAAAATGCTTGAGTACCTCGAAGCAATTGGATTGTACGATGAAGACTTGATGACCATTAATAGTGCCGGTATTGGCGCTCATTGCCACTTGTTTGAACATACACTGCAGCTTACGATGAATGGCAAAAGTTTATTGCCCATTCAAACGGTTTTTGCGCTCAAAGAAACAAAAGGTAGTAAGCTTGAGTCACATCATTGGTACTTTAATGCTTTTGCAGAACAGATTCAACCTGAGTACACGGCAGTGATGGATGTTGGTACTATGTTAACGAAGTCTGCACTTTACCACTTACTCTTTGCATTTGAACGCAATCACCAGATTGGTGGAGCGTGTGGTCAGATTACCGTGGAGAAGCCGTTTGAGAACCTGAGCAATTGGGTGATTTCGGCTCAAAATTTCGAGTACAAGATTTCTAACATTCTTGACAAGTCATTTGAGAGCTGTTTTGGCTTTATAAGCGTGCTGCCGGGCGCTTTCTCAGCCTATCGCTATGAAGCGATTCGTGGAGCTCCATTAGAAGCATATTTTCAGACTCTGAATGTTGATTTGGATGTTCTTGGGCCATTTATTGGCAACATGTACCTTGCAGAAGACCGCATTTTGTCGTTTGAAGTGGTGGCTCGGAAAGATTGCAAGTGGACTATGCATTACGTCAAAGATGCTGTTGCTCGGACGGATATACCACACGATTTGGTTGGACTCATTTCACAACGTAAGCGATGGCTCAACGGCGCATTCTTTGCCACTCTTTTCAGTATTTGGAATTGGGGACGAATTTATTCAGAAAGTAGTCACTCTTTCTTACGGAAATTGGCTTTCTTAGTCTTTTATCTGTACTACCTGTTGTACACAGTGTTCACGTACTTTCTACCAGCAAACTTGTATTTGGCCCTCTATTTTCTCGTGTTTCAAGGATTCCAGCAAAATCGTCTCGAGTTTGTGGACACTTCTGAGTATTCGCAAAGAGTACTGGATGGAGCTGTATACATGTATAACTTGGCATATCTTTTTGGTCTTTTAATGCTGATCATTATTGGGCTTGGTAACAATCCAAAGCACATGAAGCTCACGTACTATTTTGTCGGAGCAGGTTTTGGCGTTATGATGATCCTGTCTTCTCTCGTTGGTCTTGGTATTTTCTTTTCAACGCCAGCATCAATTCACTCTGTCGTCATCTCCGTCTTAACTGTTGGTGTATACTTTATTGGCTCTGCCCTTCATGGCGAGCTTCATCACATTTTCATGACGTTTACACACTACACGGCTTTGATTCCAAGTTTTGTCAATATTTTCACTATTTACTCATTTTGCAACCTTCAGGACTTGTCGTGGGGTACTAAAGGCTTGCACAATGATCCGTTGCTAGCTGCTTCGATGGATGAGACGGAGAAAGGAGACTTTAAAGATGTAATTGCGAAGCGCCGCGCCATCGATGAACGTCGTCGGGAAGAAAGTGAGCGCACAGAGAACAGAAAGAAGATTTTTGAAGCATTTCGAACCAATGTTTTGCTCACTTGGGCCTTTTCCAACCTCATTTACGCTCTGTTTATTGTCTACTTTTCCAGTTCATCCACGTACATGCCCATTTTGTACATCTTCGTTGCTACCATCAATTCGTGTCGTTTGCTGGGGTGCATTGGTCATTGGATTTATATGCACACTGCTAGTCTCCGGAACCGTTTCCTCGACAAATCAGAAGGTGGCAACGGCACTGGTCGCTACCCGCAGAACTCGTACGTGCAGCTTGATGAACACTATGCCGCTCTTGCAGAAGATCAACGCTCGTTTGCGTCTGGACGCGCAAATGTATCTATGCGTGCTATGAACGACATTTCTTTGGCCGCTTAGTAACATTCAATTAAGCGACAGCAAGCAATTTTTCATTCAAACCGTAAGGACAGTAGCCTGCGGAATCATGACACAAATGAATGTTTGATGATTAAATGTGTTTTTCTCTCAATATGGAAGTTTTGAGTGATCAGGTGACCACGATCAAGGTTGACCCGGTCGTTGTTGAAAATAGTCATGTCTTATGATACTTCAAGAATAGTAACCCTGGGTCTTTTGGTATAGAAATACGCTTCCTGGCCCGAAATTCGCAATTACACCAAAGTGCAATGCGAATTTTTAACAATCGCGCCAAAAGTGTAACTACAAAATACCCTCCCCGATTTAATGTTGACCACACTGAATAGGACAGTTCATTTATTACACAAAAAGTATTTGCCAGATAAATAGAACATAAAAACAACATGCCAGATATTTACAAAAATAAAAAATAAACCAAGTGTATACTTGCTCAAGTATAGCTATGTTTACATGTGCACATGTATACATCGCGCAATCAAAAGAAGCCTCAATGTCTGGGGGAAGACTAAACCACAGAGCAAATTAGTCAAACCTCATTCACTTTCACCAGTAGTATTCAAACCACCATTGATTGATTGACAGTACCCACCATCATCTCATTGATCTACTGCTCGCTTAAAAGAAACAGGCTCATAGATGCGGTGTCTGCAAAAATGTTGGTCGTTACAGCAAAACCTGTGATGAAGCTTAATCTTCATGGTTGTCTGGCAGATAATTTCATGCTAGAGATTATTTTCTAGCTTTGCATGGGTCACTTCAACAAAATATAACGATGTTTTATTTTGTCCCTGTCACTTTATGCGCACTGGATGTATTCTTAAACTGTTGTTGGTACCGCAAATATGTTTACAGGTGTAAATATATACAAAAACTACATTTTTTTTTCAAATAAAGGATATTTGTTTATATTTTCTGTTTATCTGGTAGATTCTTTTTCCTTTGTTTTAAGACCCCGAGCAAAGATGACCGCTCCCCGAGCAACACTACGCAAAGATATCGACCATCGACGCTCGTATTGGGGCATACCTGCACAGGAAGTCCTCTTTCGTGCACCATAATAAATGCCTCAATGCAGACAAATGTTCAGGATGTCAAATGATAGAAAGTATGCTTGTTCGATACGCGTCAAATTGTGCAATTATGCGCTTGTTTAACTGTATGTATGTTTGGAGATTTGTTTTGTGAGTAAGTTCTATATTGATCACTCCCCATAGTCTTGGTGTAACGGGGTTACTATGAAGAGTTGGGTCACACAATATGGTGTGAACACACAATAGTGTGGCTACACTTTAACGAAAGTGACTTCGTGGCCAGTAGTTATGCATTGTAATTTAGATATAGGCGGCTTTGCCGCAAATAAAACAAACAAATACAGCTTACATTTTGAACGGAAGAGTTTATTTTCCTTAAATTGTGATTGTTACTACTCTTGGAGTAAGCGGATTGCGATCCGCTACACTCGTACTGGTTATAAATCGAAAGCGAAGGTCAGTGACCATAGCTTAGCTTCCTCTAAGCGAAAGAGCTACGGCAGTCCCGCTGCACTTATTAGCACTTGTAGTCAATTTACACCTGTAGTGTAACGACTGATCATCTGTGAGGATGGAGCAGCTCTTCCATTGCCCCAGGGCATGCAGGACGGGCTCAAATATCCGATGTTTCTGTTTGGCCCTGAGGGCGTGCAACACCTCGCTCCGCAAGGATTTGAAGCGATCGGCGCGCGCCTAGAAGTGTTTTCGAGCTATGAAACATATCTCTTCTAGAGCACCTAGAGCAAAAGTTGTCGGCATCGGCAGCGTCCATGACGCCACCGTCGACGACGGATGATTCTTCCTGACCCAGGCCGCTGATGGTGAGCGTTAAGACCTCGAGAGCAAGGATGGACAGAATCCTTCTCTAGGTGAGAGGTGTCGGGATGGCTATGACATCCACCATACTCCAGACCAAGCAATAGCGCGTGATGCTAGCTATCTCCAAGCTCGGGGTAGAGCGTGAGAATGGGCAATGACGTGCAGCACTTTGGTTGAAGCGGCGTTCCCTCCTGGAAGGAGCAAAAGCTGGAGTATTCACGAGTGTTCTCGCCGCCTAATCAGGCATATCGCGTGCGATCGCGATTCTTTGCTGTCCGACAGGACAAGAAGAAGTTGGTGGACTTTGTCCAGATATTAAGAACTCTCATTGCCGGGATGGCAACAGATCCTCCCCCGAGGTGGTTGCAGTGACCGTCTTCATGGAAATGGCGTGGTCAGGTTTCGTGTGAATCTGACTATTTTTTAAGAAGCGGTGAAATTGGTATTGAATGCCGAATTCAACTTCAAGTCGGCACAACTTGGTTGGGATGGACACCTTCAGAGCTCGTCGAGCGGGCCTTAGTCAATGAATCTCAGCTATGCAGAGAAAGAGGAGGGAGAGCTCCAAGCTGCCGGGTAGCGTCTAAACACCCGACGGCGTTTAGTCTACGGGTTCACTAGTCACCTTCGGACTGGTTGTCGGCGCGTAAAGGTTCATCCAACCGAAGTCCCGCTTCTTATCAGTCTTCTGGTTTGTCGCGGGGAAACGACAAAACCCAGTAGGCGCGGAGCACCCTTCTCGGGAAGAACCGAGTTCTGTTGAGCCTCATTAAGGTAGATATCAGCAGGGCCCAGCCCAGATCTCCGTGCTCCTGAACACGGGACGTGTGTGCGAGCCGGGCTTGCTGGCCGTAAAAGCGACCGTGAAGTGCTTTGAAAAGTCATGGATGATCCTTATCGATTCTGGTGCGTCGGGCAATTATGCTCGACAATATCACGGTCGAAGGAAGTCAGCAGTATTCTAAGGCGCTGGAAGAGCGGTTGAGTGTCATCGTCTCTGTTTGCTTAGCGACGGGGACTTATGTAACTGTGCCGAGAGTCCTGTGGTCTTCGATGTCAATTTTTTGGCTTTGATAGCGTGTAACGCTGCTTAATCTTAAACTTGGATTCAAGGTATGACCTTGCCCTTGGTATAGCATGGTTGAAATACCATGAGCCTTGGATTGATTAGAGGTCGAAAAACTTGGGCACTACGTGTACGTCTCCTGGTGGAGCTTGGTGAGTCAGAAATAGGCTGCAGAAGCGCTATTGGCGCGGGCACTAAACCGGAACAGTCAATGTGCTGGATATCGGAGTATTCGAGTTGTCGAACACCAAAGCTGTTTTGGACGGGAGTCCCGAGCGTGGCTCGCGGGCTGAATGTGGAGTGGCGCATAACACTGAGATTTGCTCAAGTATCAAAGCAGTTGTTGCATGCCAATAGTAGCATGGTCGACCAAGGGACGAGGCATCAAGGGCAAGGTCCTTGTGATGCACATGAAGCGGCACGTAAGTCACTGAGCACTGCTTACTTTTTGAAGCAGTAGCTGCATGCCAAGAGTGGCATGGTCGGACGAGGTCTGAAGCATCTTGGGCAAGGCCCTTCTGATGGTTGAGTGGCACGCTATCCGCTGGACGAAGACTGTGGAAATAGCAGCTCTTTGTCGGATGTTGTTAATAACATCAAAACTCCGATGGAGCAGGAAACGGAGGCACTGGACGACGCCGGGTGCAAACACGCCGCCCAAGGGGTAGTTTGACGTCATTGACGCCTTTTTCCGTGCGAAGCACGAAGCAGGAATGGTGCGTGAGAGTAAGTCTTCCCGTTCGATACCAACGTTTTGTGTCCGAAAACCGAACGGCAAGTGGCGTATCGCTCACGCTTATAATAAGCTAAACGCCGCCACCATTCCGACACAGACGCCGATTCCTAGAAAGAATATCCTCCAGAACAACATGGTTGGCCGCACAAAGGACAGTGCATCGATGTTTTTTACAATTGCTCATGAAAGTGAATGATAATCCGCTCAAAGCGGTGAGTACTGCGAGCGGGACGCTATGGAGTGGCTGGTGACGCCCCAAGGGCTGTCAAATGCGCCAGCAACATTTAATCGTCTTGTAGCACAATTCTTCAAACCCACCGGGCGTATGCACTAACAAACTTCAACGACATCTTCGTCCACAGTCGTGCGGGGCACGGGAAAACAGAAGTGGAAAACCACATTGTCCATTTGAGAGCGGTGCTCGAGTGCATGCGCACGAATAAGCTGTATGCTAATGCCGATAAGTGTAACTTCGACGCGGAAGAAATCCTCTTTTTGTGCTTTATCGGGAGGCGTGGCCTTCGGGCGGATCATGCTAAGGTCAGGGCCATTGTGGACTGGCTGGTTCCAAAGAACCTGAAAGACTTGCGCAGGTGGCTTGGCCTCGTCAACTGCCATTGTCGAATCTCCTTAAGAAGGATACTGAATGGTGTTAAGAAACCGAGTATCGGGAGGCTTTTGACAGGGTCAAAGACAGTCTCCATTTTGCACCAATACTGGCGTTGCCAGTCCTCGATCGTCCTTTTAGTGTCGTA